TACTCCTTTCAGCATCTAAACATTATTTGCTATACATTTTTTTGTTTATTAGTTCCATGTGTATTGTTAGTGTAGAGCGTTAATTTAAGGGAAATCGCTGAAAAAAACATCTTGCATCGTAGAACATCACCTTTTTTGAACGGCAATTTGACAGCTAGTCGATCGAGTTAATGTTTCCGGAAAATAATTTGAAAATAAGTGATTCAGTAAAAAATTTAATTGAATTGAATGAACGAATTTGTAAATATATCAGCTTCAGCAACAAGCATTAACGTGTCCCGGCGAGTAATTCTTCAATCCATGATCTCGAATTAGTCAGCAGTGTATATTGGCATTTATGGTTCGCCTAGCTAGTGGATTACATTTTATGGTTCGCCTAGCTAGTGGATTACATGATACTCGTACAACAATTATGACATTGTTGAGGCRAGCGCGGAAAAACTGAATGTTCGGGATCGAATTTAGAATAGGGAATGTTCCATAATTTAAAGCAGAATATTCGAGTGTTGCCAAACGGCAATAAAAAGCAAGCGCGACGTTCCGTATTCAGTTAGTGAAAGAGCTATTAAATCAAAACAGGGCAAATGGTTCATTGAGGACACGAGTAGCGGCAATAGAGCAGCAGTGTACCATTTTGAAGAAAATGATATAACACACCTAAGAAACCTTGCTCGTTCATTGTTTCTGTCCAAATGTCCATTCTGATACAAATATTGACAATTTAGCTTTAGCAAATTAAGATGAAGCACTTTCAGAAGACACAAAAAGCCTTCTGCTTCCCCAATGTTGGAGGGCCGCATATATTTGCAGACAAACGCTAAAGTTTGCAATATTTTGTTGTATTTTAAGCCTCTCTCCAAAATAAATATACATCTACTATATTCAATAAAGAAAAAGTGCTAAAATATTTTGTTTACCTTTATTCTCCAAAACTTGCACAAAAATGCTTCTTCTAAAGTGATTTGTGGAGGTATGTTGACAATTCGACTCGATACGAGTACTTTAAGTCAATACCAAGTATTTGTATGGAAAGAACGATTCAATTACCAAAGTACTCGGTATCGAAAAGTATCGAATACCTACTTGTATATACTTGTATCGAATCATCCCTAATAAGGAGTAGAACGATAAGAAAGTTCATTGCCGTTTCTTGGCCATCCATTTCTATGTGAATGTTTAAATACATTTTTATTTATAATTTATCTTAGGCTTACTACAATGTTTATTAATTATTTGCGTTTTTCTACAACTGTTGCATCATAATATAATTTACTTTCTCTAGCAAACACCTATTCTGCAAATTTTTGTATGATGTAAATGTTGTAGTTAGTTGTTCACTTTACCTCAAACCACGGAGGTTAATGAGGGGCAAAGTTTTTTTTAATGCGTGTTAATTATTCTTGTATTAGTTATTAATTGTATAGCTGTAACACTAGAAATTGCAGGAGAGATTTAAATATTTTAACACTAGTTCTTCAGCGAAAAGGCGTGTTTTTAAGTAGACGATAGGTCATTAAATAATGTTCAGGGGTCAATAATGTAAGAGATATTTTTGCTTCAACAAAAATTAACACATTAAAATGACGTCCTTAATTTAAATAAAGGTAAATTTCAGTGGCTCGTAAAGTGAACAAATAACAGTTACTAAATTTATCGAATATGCATATAAAAAGATATTTGCTAGAGGAACTTAATTATATAATGATTATTAGGTAGGAAAAAATAAATATTACGTTGCTATGCTATACACAAGTTTATGTAGTAATTTTATGCGTTAAATTGCAGATAGGTAATTGCTATTTTCTGAATACAAGAATTATACACATTAACAAAAAGAATTTATGAAGAGAGACATTTGTGAGCAGAAAAAATGTACCAACATTTTGAATTTTATGTAGGTCCCAAACGCTTGAAACATTTTACTTGAAAAACAAATTAGTTTAAAAACAAAGCTACAGAAAATGTCTCGCTGTATGTAAAAGCATACAAACACATTATCACTTGCCGTTTGTTCATTTACCAATTGTCTATTTGAAATATGATGAAATAAAAAGTAGCATACAGAAGTGAAAACTAGATGAACAAAACGTCGATATAAAAATACATTCCATTAGAATTAGAACCGCCACCATCTGTATGTATAGGAAAATGCCATATTTTTCTATACATGGTGTTGTAAGCAAACCGTGTGTGATTTGGAAGGTATCGTCAATGAAAACTTTTTTATCGTGCTTTGGACCGCATATGGGTTTGGAAACTCAAAATTTTATTTTCTAGAAGCTCACAAATTAAACCTCCCATTTTGAATTAAACGCATTGTTAATTGTTTATCTATTCTCTAGTACAGAGAAGCTTTTAGTTGTAGAAATTCCCCAAAAACTTTTGATCGATTATAGATGCGTCTGTGGTTACTAAAAACAGGCGGAAACATTGCGGTCCCTATTTTTTCGCATCAATTATGCAAAGTTTTATACCAAAAATGAGATCGGAAAGCTCCGTCCATTTAGGACAAGTTCGTTAGAAGAAAGAGAAGAAGACGATCACCAACTGATCTTTCGACACATATGATCAGCCGCTACATGATTTGATTACTTTAAGTTTTTTTTCAGTATGGTGTAAAGTTTGCTCTTGAATTTGCTGACAGAAAATACTTTACATTTTAAATGCTCTGTAATATTTATAGGTTGCTGCAAAAGGAAGATAAAACTATAAAGCAGACACGCCAATATAAATAACTCATTTTTGGACATTTTGAATTGGCAAAATGTATGCCAAGGCTTAAAGCAGCAACAGCAACAACGTTACACATAAAAACTGATGATGGTGGAAAAATACACCGAAACGTATTTTAATTGATAAATAGAGACAATAAATGACTGAGGCCCAGGAATTAATTTTGAATTGGAACTGAAACACAGTCAGGAAAATATGTACAATATAATTAACTGCAAAAATATATCGACAATCTAAGAAGAAAAGTCATGTTTCAACAAAACAGGAATGAAGCAGCATGTTAAAAATAAAGTTAATTAAGCATAAGCAAACAAGACATAAACAGGAAAATTCTTTGAATTGATTTCATCTTTAATCAAGAAATCAGTTGGGCATCGAAATATTCTTTGGACAGCTTTGTACCAACGAAGTCTCAAGCTCTGTGCAGAAATCCAATTACTAAGCTTATGACAGACCCTGATTGATAGTATCAATTATTTACTGATTGTACCAAATTGGTAGCGATCTTAATGTTTTAGTCACTGGAGGAAAATTGTCTTGAATTAGGTTTCCTTACATACTTTTTGTTTATATGGAAATTTTACGATATGGAAGTTATTTGGAGCATTTCAAACATTTATGCCAAACGGATTTTATTCAAAATACAGTTTATTCCATGTTCAAGTTGTTTGGTATTTGAAACAGCCAGAAAGCAAATCTATGAATGAAATGATTAATCCAGAATTTTCATATGCTGGACGCTGAATTATAAGCGCGTTAGTCTAATATTTATACATTTTTCAGATTTTAAATACGTGATAAATTATGTTAATTAATTACTATCATTAAATATATACCGATATTCTTCAGTAATCAATTAAATAGTAACAAATACACTGTTGGTAAAGTTGGAAATTTTGCAATCGATCTCAAGACTGAAATATCCTATTAATTATAAATAAATTACCTTAAGCCGGCAATTCAAAATGAATCAAAAATATGTCTAACTCGACCGCTTATGATTCAGGCCAAATTATTCCTCCTTAATATTTAATTTCCCGTGTTCAATACTACATTTTTATCTATACAGGCTCTTGGAATGACATGGACTTCTCGCAACACAGGATTAGAACACAATAGTAATTAATTAAATGTTAGTCTGTATCACGAACACCAGTAGATCCAACAGCTGAAGTAATCACTGCAATGGCAAATTTAACCGAGATTGGCATCTGTCGAAATGTTTACCAAACGATCGAATATACTCAATTAGGAAATTACGTGTAATCAAGCAAAGAGTTTATCATTCATTCCATTGTACTCAATGCTGCTAATTGGTGGCATTCGGCTTCTGCGGTGCAAACAATACAAGAGTGGTGGAAAACGGCCGTTTGTTTTTTAAAAGCCCTTTGAGAGCTTATGATAAGTGGGAGGTAAAGCTTTACGTTCACTTCATTTAACTGAATTAACTTTGGGCTGTGTTTTGTTCCTACTTAAATATACAACTCAATTAAATAATTGAACATATATCAAAGTAATTAAATTTGTAAATCTACATAGACACAGCCTGACATTAAGGCATTGATCAACCTTGGATTTAAAGGCTAATTTTTATGAGGCTAATAACAATAATAAAGGCTAATTTTTGTAGATGTTATAAAATTACTATGATCATTCAAAAGAATTATTGAGCGCACGGGTATATGGAGCGTACGAAGCAATAAACAGCAGGTTGCCTAACAGCAGGATTATTTCGTTCGACCACTTGAAGGAAACACACGCTTTCGTTCAATTTAAAGTTCTTTCCACCGTTAAGTACCGATTTTTGGGATCAAAAATCTTTTTGAAGCTGAAAAAAGTTGATAACTGATATACTACTACCAGTACTAAATAAAATGAAAATTAAATATTTCACATACATAGTGACAGAAGCGTAAGGGTGCTTACAAGGTTTTACGGAAAATTATTTATAATTGTGTATATTGTGGTTGTTTTCGTTCATAAATTTTGATTTAATAAAATCCTGATAGTGATTTTATCGCATGAAAGACTAAAATCGAAGGCCATAGTCCACGTGATAGTAGCCTTTAAAAGTATACAAATCTGAATTGTTGTCTGAATTGTTTTTTTTTTAACATTTTAGACGTGCCATAAAACGTTTTTCGAGTCAATTGCAAAGCAAATATAATTTATTTTGGAAACTAGGAATGCTGAAGGTTTTAGTTTGTCAATGGTCAAAATTATAAACCAGGAGATGCAAAATTGACTTTTAATTGAGGTAGTCCACATGCTTAGATTCTAAAAGCCATTTAGACAAAAGACGATGAGTACTTACGACAAAGGTTTATTGCTGATTCATTAGGTCGTTTGAATAGGTAATTAACCATATTTAGTTGATTCGTTGCTCACGGTTTGTAATCCAAGCAATTTTTAGTATTAAACGCAAATATTCTAAAGTAATAGAACTGCTTGTGACAAAAATATCAAATTAGTCTGTTTCAAGATTTCCAGTCGTTGGTGGATAGGCAAGGTAGGTATTCTTGTCTTCTTTTTTCGTTATTAGAATTATGTTGTATTACTGTAGCAATTACAATGAATATTTATTCAAACGGAAGTTTAAAAATGAAAGTGTTTATAAATACTGCGTATTCGTTTTCTGTTTAATTTTGATAGATACTGCCATATTTCTTTTGTTCTTCATCTATTAGGTTTGGTATAATTGCAGACCAAGGGACAAGTACAACTTGTATCATTACTTTTAATAAGATTAATGAAAGCGAAAGAATATATAATAAAAATACCAATTTCAGGATGGATCCTTTGTGACGCGGATTAGTAGATATTATTAGTAGTTATGGAGTTTGAAAATTATTTACATCCAATAAGGTTAATCCATTAATGAAAAGCGATGTTACTTTAATTACTGTTTGCAACAGGAATTTTCTAAGTAGGTTTAATATGATTAGAGCATACCTGTTTGTTACAGTATTAGTTAGTCCAGCACATGTTTATTACAATATTGTTTAGTACTAAGCCCGAGCTTTGGCAATCAAACTTCGGGAAATACCAGACATTGTTATGAAGGCTTTCAGGTTTCAACCACATTATTTAAGCGATTTGCCGCACTGCCTAGCTATAATTGCAGGTTTTAGAAATAATTTTACAGTTGACTGAGTGGAAGTGCAAACGGACATTCTTCAAAACAATATTTTTTATATTTGGGCCTTTTTCTGCCAATTTACTTACTCTGGCTACTAATAATGCATTGCAGAGTACAGAGAATTAGTTTATAAGGAAAAAGTGAATGAAACTACAAAATGAACTATCTTTAAAAACAGCAATATGTTAGTTACATTTGGAAAAAGTAAATGTAAATATAAAATGTTTGAGCCCCACGCTGACTATCATAGAACGCCAAACATTTTTATTACTAGAAAAGTGCGGACGTATGTCATAAAGTATGTGGACTTTATGTTAGTATTCTGGTTATTTATTTATATGTACGGTTTGTGAGTTAAAATAAGCTATTTTGGCTCGCTACGTCCAGCTAAATTTACTAAATTTGAATATATGTAAGCAAATAGACTAATTTTAGATACTCATAAATTATCTAGCCTGTTTGCATATTAAATACTGTTTTCTTTTAACAGCTTCAAAAAGGGTACCTTCTCCTATTAAAATACCTGACATAAAATAACTGTTTCTCTGCTGGTCGGTACTGTAAATTTTTTTTGAACGTACTCAACAAGCCTAAGCGACTGTACGGAAGCAATGTATCCTTTTATTATTTTACCGACATTATATCTACGATTTTCTTAGAATTGAATGTGCCTTAGGAATGTAAACCAAAGCAGAGATATGAGTATAACTAATATCGCAGAAACGCTTCCACATATTTGTCATTGTTGGTGTTGTGTTGATTTTGCTCGATAGAGTACGTGCATTGAAATACTGTTTGCTGAACGAAAAATTCAGCTATGGATTTCTCCTGCTGTATATTTATTTTTCATTAGAAAATAGGTCGATTCATCGTCCAACTGCAGTTTGCTATTGAGTACAATTACACCGAAAGTTAATTTGCTTGTCAATTGAAAGTAAGTATTTCTATGAGTAAATTAAAAATAGTAATTCCAATATAAAACATATTTGGAGTTTCCGTAAGACTACACAACTACATATGATAAATGTTACCTTTATTTAATAATTTCTATTATAAAAATTGGTGATGAAAACGCCCCTAAACAATTAAACAAAGTGACAAGTTTTCCACGGTTTTATTAGGAAATCAAACATGCAAAAAAGTCGACGTAAACTCGAATCATTAATTAAAACTTTTCAAACCCATTGTATCCACACGACAAGGCATCGAAAATTTAAACTCGCTCTAAACCGAATGCATAGTTAAAATACTATGGGCAAAGCGGCCACATATCAGGAATCGTATGCAAATTATAGATTAAACCGATTACATAATATGTGGATATTTGATTTTAGTCAGCAATCGGAGCAAATTTTAATACGAAATATTAAACACTGTATTTGTGGGGTGCGCGCAAAATTACTTTAATATTAACTAATTAAGGGCGTGGTTTTGTCGGTTTGCTTTCAGAACGGATGAACAAGCTTTGTGTTCATATTTATGGTTTCGATCGAGACAAATGAACTTAAAATTAATTCACCGTAATGCTAATATAAAATCAACAAAAAGAAGTTCATCTAATGTGAAAAAACTTGTTTGATTGACTAATATAAAATGCATGATTATATAAGAAATTTAGCTCCACCTAATTCAGTGTCAACAAATGGTAAAATCCATTTGTAGTTTTACTGAAACGTGAAATAATTTATTATGCAATATAGAATTAATTAATTGTTTAATTGTAGTTAACTGAAAACGTAAATCCAGCGCTTGTATTTATAGATGCATTAGATATATTCGAATTTATTGTCAACAGAAAATATTGAACTAATTTGCAAAAATTAAAATTGAGAATGTTACAAATTCACATAAAAAGTGTATAAGTATTTGAACTGATAAAAAGGATCATTATTTTATATGAATTAAAAGTAATCCAAAACTTAAGATTTGCAAATTATGAATGCCACCGAAACAATCATTATTTTGTTGCTTAATTAATCTTGACGTTAAAACGTGATGAAAAAAGAAACCTATTAATAATTGACAACTGCATTAATTAGAAGTGTCGCTATTATAGTCCACAGTCAAGTATGAAATAATGAAAACGAATAAATGGACAAAGAAAAATTAGCACTATAAGAAAGAGCTTTGCTGTTTGAGGTTTATAATTTACAGGTGGTAAGTTTCAAGTTCGTTGTCTTCATTTTCCTCAGTTTTCTTTATCACACTACATTCTGGATCAATCAATATTGCAAAAAGGCGCTTAGTAGAGAATACAAACTGTTTACTGAAAATGTATTTGTAAATAGTCTAATTTTGACCTAAAATGAAACAAAATTTTGAAATACATATTCAGAACCACACATCTATGGGTGAATCAGATGCAGTAGCATAGGTAAAGTTTTTGAAAATTTGCTTTGGCAAATCCTGAGGCTGGCCAGATTAAACTACAAATTAAAAAACTAGATTAACTACAAAAAAAATAATAAACTACAACTACAAACTGGTAAGTACATAAATGAGTAAAAGCTTAAGAATGATTTACTATGCAAACTTAGTACTTAAGCACACCTTATTACTACAGCATAAAGTCTGTAAATACATCAATTATTTAGCTGTTTACCAGAGTAAACCAAGATAATGTCAGTAGCAAAAATGTAAAATAAGGATCAACAAGTGTAATAATACGTGAAAGCGATTCTGAGCTGATGCTAAATTATAGAAACATAAGGAGGTAGTTTTGCAATAACTATCTTGACCAGTGTGGTTTTCATTTAGTGGTTTAAATGACCAGTTAAAATAAAGTTTCACATAAAAAGATGTACATTTTGCATTTGTAGCTATTCAGTTAAAGTTATAAGTTAAATCACAATAAATTTAAATAATTTTGGATTACCTATGTATATAATACAGAGAAGCTTTTAGTTGTAGAAATTCCCCAGAAACTTTTCATCGATTATAGATGCGTCTGTGGTTACTAAAAACAGACGGAAACATTGCGGTCCCTATTTTTTCGCCTCAATTATGCAAAGTTTTATACCAAAGATGAGATCGGAAAGCTCCGTCCATTTAGGACAAGTTCGTTAGAAGAAAGAGAAGAAGACCAACTGATCTTTCGACACATATGATCGCCGCTACATGATTTGATTACTTTCAGTTTGCTCTTGAATTTGCTGACATAGAAAACACCTTACATTTTAAATACTCTGTAATATTTATAGGCTGCTGCAAAAGCAACATAAAACCGTAAAATAATAATATAATTTTTATAATGGAAATTATTAAATAAAGGTAACATCTATCATATGTAGTTGTGCAGTTTTAGGAAAACCCCAAATATGTTTTATATTGGAATTACTATTTTTAATTTACTCGTAGAAATACTTACTTTCAATTGACAAGCAAATTAACTTTCGGTGTAATTGTAGTCAATAGAAAACTGCAGTTTGACGGATGAGTGAACGATGAATCCACCTATTTTTTAATGGAAAATAAATATACAGTAATAAAGTATAGAAAACGTAATACAGACCAAAAGGGTCAATTCTAAGAGAAAATAATACAATTCTTAGATATCCTGACTGAAAATTGCGATCTTCAAAGTTAATGCATATTAATACGAATGCATCATTTAAAAGAAGCATAATCCATTAACTAAACCATTTGTTAGATATTCACGTTTACCGTTTTTTGGTGTAAACTATGCCCAATATGGCTGGGGGCTCTCATTTAAAGTACGACCTCAATTTCCATTAAACCAATTTGGTTGGTTTTAAAAACAACAATTACGTCCAGCGACACCCCTGGAAGCATTTAAGAATAAAATAGCCTTATGTTCGTTTTACTCTTTTTAAATAACACGTAAGAAACTCTCGGACTATTGATTCAAGACGATTTATTGCTCACTCCCATAATACTGAATGTAAAAATCCAGTTATTCGGCTGTAACATCGAGCCTCGGTATTTTGAACCAATTAAGTGTGTTGTTGAATTTTTAACAGTTTTCGTCGTTCGCCAACCACTTCGGAGCAATACCCTAATCAATAAAGACCCTAATTAATAAAATGTGCAAAATAACAAACATGCAATAATCAAAGTTGCTTTTGAGGAACTCATGAGCGTGCTTTAGGTGCGCGTTTCTAAATTAAATCACAGACAAAAGTTTGATTAATGAGTTTTCTTTTAAGACAAATTGTAAAGGGCAAGAAACTGAGTGACAAAATATTTACAAACTTTTAAAGTTATTTTACCGTTTTGTGTGTTTACAGCAAGTTATAGATTTATCCGTTCTTGTATAGGGTGATTAAAAAATACGACGTTTCTCAGGACGAGTTGTCGGGGGTTTTTAGAGAGTACAGAAAATTAGTCAGAATAATAGGTTTAATAAAAGCTTAGATTTTGCAAAAAAGTAAACAGTCAACAATTGATTTGGACGTAACTGCCGCTGAAGTTAGATCTATTTACATTCCGCCAACGTCTCTTCTGTTAATTCCTGAATTGAGCTCGATTGAACTATTCCAATGTGTACTTGAGTTGAAATAAAACTGGACAATTCATCACAGAACTGCTCATCTTCACTTCATAACGTCGCTCATAACATCAATCTAGTGATTACAAAGTTATAAACGAGAAACTATCCAAGAAGCTTTCGATCTATAATCACTCCAGTTTTAATATTTAGATTGTCAACTCGCAATTCCTCCAGGCAAGCATTTTATTTAAGAGCTTTGCGCAAAATAGTTTATTTAATACCCCATTTGAAACTTCGCCAAATGACGCTATATTTGTCTTTAGGAAAGTCGAGTCAAAAGTGATAGACCTACTTCTAGCTCAAGTTTATCAGTTTGACGTTAAAATAATGAGTAATCCGCGCCTAAAATAACCAGCAACAACCAAGTTTGTTTATTCCTGCTAGCAAATTCGTTGCAACCGTACACCGAGAAGCCAGATTGATAAGAGTTGGTAACATTGCGAAATTACCAAAGTTACCATAATAGTGTGTACCTTTAACAAGGGTTAAGCATGCCACGTTCGTGTTTCAGCCTGATGGAAACTTATGTTTACATGTCTTAATAATGTACTAGTAGAAGATGCAGCTGTTTTGATTGATAGATAAAGTTTGTTTCCAATAGGTGAAATTGGTTTCATTGAGGGCGATTCTGTAAAAATAAAATACACACAAAAGAAGACAATCTTTGTAGAGTACTCTTAACAGAATTGAGGAATTTGGATATTACAAACCTCATTTTTAAGTGCATGAATAATGACGTGATTATTAAAATCATACGTTATCTTTGGTCATCCTCAGACACACTTTTTCATCTGGTGCCTCCCCATCGTC